AGGGTCTGCCTTAAAGGATTCATTCCAAAAGAAGCAATGACCCATGTCCATCCTTTCCTCCAAAACCCAGAGCAAGAAATAAAATTATTGTTCAGGAAAGCGTGCTTCTAAACAATCCTTATTAAAGGTGGTGAATGATGATTCTTCTCGGCAGGAGAAACATAAGAGGCGTGTTCAAGAAGGGCCAAATCCAAAGAGGCTTAAGACAAGGGCACTCGATATAGGAACCTTTACCATAAAAGGAGCCCAATGTTCTCTTCCCTCGTATTTTGTGCATTCTTTCCTTCTCGCCACTGACCCCAAACTTATAAAAGATGGTTAAGCTAGTTCCCAGAGGGTGATTTCAACTACTACGTTGGCATGATTGAGTCTAGCCAAATGATTATTTTAACTACTTATGAATGATTTTGTAACATTATTTTCCACATTAAGCGCTTTCCCTCAATTGTTTTCTATAATTGGATTGAAAGTTGGTCTCCACGCCATCTAGCATCTCTAGCTATCACTTCGGTAAAAGGTATGTTCCATTTCTTTTCCCCTAAGTGAGAACTGGGTTTGAAGCTGATGTAATTAAGGATCAATCATATACGCTTTGGAGTAGATGGCTAGAAAGAGGAGGCGTGCCTAGTGTGATTTTCCGCTATTGTTTTTTGTATTGCTTCTAGACGTTCATCGTTGTGTCTAGATATGACTTTTCCCTTATTGCTTATGAATTGTCCTCCTCTTAAAAGGGATGGATTGTTCTCCAATTGGGTTCCCCTAATTTGTCTTGGATAACGACCTCGGTGCCATAGGTTAACCTGGAGGGTATCTCATTGGTTGTCCAATGGGGCGTAGTTTGATATACCTAGAGATCCTCAGAAAATTCATATGCATGTGGGAGATCCCCAAATTAGTTTTTTTTTCCGGATGCCTTGAGTATTATCTTCAGTCCTATCAACAATACTTGGTCGGTGGATTTTTTCCCCATTGGTCTAGGGGTGTTCTACTTATGTGAAATGGTGTTTGGCGTTGAGTTTCTCAAAGATTTTATTAAGACTCTTGTCCGTGAATTTTGTCTCGATGTCAGTAACAACAGATTGAGGAATGTCATATCTTGGAAGGATGCTTTTCTTTAACAATTAATGAATGTTGGTTTTTGTGATCTTCGCTAAGGGTTCTACTTCAATCCATTTGATAAATAATATACCACTATAATTAGAAACTTCAATTACCTAGGAGCTAAAGGGAAAAGGACAAAGATGTTCATGCCCTATTGGAAAAATTTCCATGGCGACATCACTGTGTTGATCTCAAGTGGAGGAGTGATGTTGATCTCCCCATGTTTTTTTACACTACCCGCACTTCTTGACATAAATTTTGGCATAAGGAACCATAAAATGCAAGTATTATCTTGCTTTAAGAATCGTTTCGGTGAGGGATAATTTGGTGAAGGAAATTCATTATAGAAGTAGTCGTAGAGGATTACATTGAATTACATGTTTAAGGTAGAATCATCTAGAGTGGACCTAATCTAAGATGACTAGTCACCCATCCTTAAGGGATTCATGGTTTTTACAATTGAAAAGTAAATATAAAAACTTACAATGATGAAGAACAATCTCTTAATGATAACATTCGCTTTCACCTTCTCTTAGTTTATAAAAACACCTTAGACTCTCTAATGCACCCCCTTATAACTAAACATGTTTTTCTATTTATAAGTAAAACCCTAAATCTGTGCAATCATGTTGTGCCAATCCCTAGTTATCCCTCATTTTATCACTTAAAATACTTTCACGCTTTGGCAGAGAGTTGGGATCATATTCATGTGTTTATGGGTCTGCCGCAATTTGATCTTGTAATTTTTTTTGCACTCAAGGTGGAAAGTTTGGATCGTGTTGTTATGTCTTTTGAGTTTTTAGTATCGTTATTACATGTTGGATAATGGTAAGAGACAACAAATATTTCGTAAGCACTGCACTTTCTAAGGGGATTGTTATGGCGGATCGTGTATGCACTGATGAAAACTTAATTGACTCTTTGACGTAAGGATTAGCTAGGGTGAAAGTCTAAAACACATTCTAAAGGATTGAGTTATTTTCAATAGATCAATTAATCACTCATAATGGTAACCATATCTAAAAGACTAGAGATCCCAAAAATTATATTAAATGGATAATAACAAGTTGTGAACTAATAAGAGAATGGATGTGATTGTGAGCATAACTCTTAAACCGATTAGAGGTTGTGGTAATGGAAAATCTTAATGAGATATATACTATATATAGAATGGAGTACCTAGCTAGTTGAGTATTCTTGATAGAATCACCTTTGTGAATATGAAAATGGGAATGCTTCCTATGAAATCCTAGGCATAGATTTATAGATTGTTCACTAAATTGGGATAAACGAGCATGACCATAATAGCACGGGCTTTTTTTCAGAATACACCTAAAGAAAAATTGTATGTAGGTTTCATGTTAGAGGTAGTTCAAAACTATGGTCAGTCTTGTTAAGTCTGAATCTTACTCGTTATGTTAAGGTTCAAATTTATCGACACCTTTGTTGATGTACTATTTTATAAAAGCGTTTGGCGCTACTTCTAGAATCTTTTTCAAAAAATTCAACTGAAGAATTGTCGGACCAATCAATTTGGGGATGAATTTGAAAAAACTATGTCCTACATGGCATATTTTCCAACTTTATATAAGAAGAGAAAATTTTAAGCGTTGAATTTCTCAATTTACACACATGGGTTAGTTTAGACATATTAGTTAGTTTCAAACACACCAAAAATTACTTCTGAGTTTTTTCTTCGTCACCTTTTTTTCTCTCAATGTTTTTGAGTTGTCGAAGTCTCAATTTTTTTTTTCTTTCATTGAGTTTGTTGAATTTTTTGAATACACCTAGAAAAAAATTGTATGTAGGTTTCATGTTAGAGGTAGTTCAAAACTATGGTCACTCTTGTTAAATCTGAATCTTATTCGTTATGTTAAGGTTCAAATTTATCGACACTTTTGCTTATGTACTATTTTATAAAAGCGTTTGACGCTACTTCTAGAATCTTTTTCAAAAAATTCAACTGAAGAATTGTCGGACTAATCAATTTGGAAATGAATTTGAAAAAACTATGTCCTACATGGCATATTTTCCAACTTTATATAAGAAGAGAAAATTTTAGGCGTTGAATTTCTCAATTTACACACATGGGTTAGTTTAGACATATTGGTTAGTTTCAAACACACCAAAAATTACTTAACTTCCTCACCTTTTTTTCTCTCAATGTTTTTGAATTGTCGAAGTCTCAAGTTTTTGTTCTTTCTTTGAGTTTGTTGAATTTTTTGAATATTTTTTGAATTCTTTTTGAAGAAATATTTGAACTTCTTCTTGTATGAAAGATTATTTAGAATAATCAAATGACTATTATTAGAAGGTGTATTCTAGAACAATACCTAAAATAGAGTAGGATACAGTATAGTTTGATTGAATTGTTTTATCTTAGGAACTTTGTGGTTAATAATTTTTTTTTACATTAATTTATTTCTAATTCTTTTTTAAAATTCAAAAACAATAATAAATTAAATTAATATATATTTTGCACCAATAACATGATAACAAAAACATCATCTCTTTTTGAAGCTAACGATGCGTTACAAAAACCTTTAAACCTAACAATTGTCAAAAGATCTTTTTAACCTAAATAATAAATCGTGTCGTTTGACAAACGTGTTTGGAATAATTTGGGACATAAATATTTAGGAGTGTTTTGAAAGAATTTTATAGAAGTAGTTCATGATGTAGTTATAACTTTTTTCTATTTTTATAAATTCGTCAAAATAAATAGAAAATTTAGGCAGACAACTTTTTTTATCAAAGTAATAAAAAAAAACTAAATAAATGTATTTTAATTCTTATTATTATTATCACGTTCATTGGACATATAAGTTGATTAAACAAGGTGTTAAATTCATACCTCTTTTGTATTTTAGCTGCGTTTTCCTACGAAAAAATAATTAATAAACACATAAAAATTAAAAGATAGACATCTACAATGTAAATTTAAAGGATATACACCTCAAGTATACTGTGAATGTATTTGAAATTGTGATGTGATATAAAAAAAAAATTAATTTGTCATGAGTTATAGTCAAATCATCCAAATAATTTCAAGACAAAAATGACTGGACATTTCAATTCTTTTAAACCTTAAAACTACACATTAACTTAAAAAATATGATAAAAATTTAAATTTCTTCTTTTAAACCTTAAAACTACACATTTAACTTTAAAGATTTAAATTTATTCTTTTAAACCTTAAAACTACACATTTAACTTTAAAGATTTAAATTTCTTCTTTTAAACCTTAGAACTACACATTTGAAATCTCAACATTGATATCCATTAAATCTCTTTTTTATAAGCCACCTTCTTCTCCCATAACTAGGAGGCTTTGTAAAGTTATTCATTCTATTCAAAAGAGATAAAATTTCAAAGTAATAGTGAGAAATAGAGTTTTGTTTTCATCAATCATAATTTGGTGAGAATTGAAAAATATTATATACCATCTAAAGTCAAATAAGATTGAAAAAATATCTTGTATCAATCAAGACAGATTGAAAAAATATTTTGTAGAGATATTTTAGTGGGACAGATCAACTGACTTTTCCCATTCACATTGGAAAAAATTGATATAATTTTATTACTCTATTCTCTTTATTTGTTCACAAAAGAGTGAAAAATTATCTTGTATTCGAATGACAGTATATGCTCATTAAACTCTTAATTTAAAAAATAGGACCAAACAATTCATTTAGCATAAGGATTATAAGAACTATAAACTTAAGCAAATAACAAATATAAAGTCTGGTGTCTTGATTATTGATATAATAAACGAACAAACACACAAGGATATACAAACAAAATTTATAACTAAATTCTTAAATCTTCACAAATTTACAATCATCCTATTATCATATAGAAATGGAAAGTGAAGAGAGTTGTTTATGATATCAGTGCAACTATATGTAATCTGAATCAGTATCTCTTCTGAAATGTTGCAAATCTGGATGAGCATCATATCCTGGCCTTCTAGGATTTCTGCAAGATAGGAAAGAAAAGTATGGTTATTTTATCTTAACATAAATAACATCCTTTTCTGCAATATTATGGAAAATATGATATATATTGCACCATAGTACCTTGCAAATCTGTTGGGTTCAAAACCAGGGAGACCAGGAGGTCCAATAGGATCAAATCGAGCACCGGGAGGAACGCCCCTGTTTAAATAGATTCATTAGTCAGATTCATAAGCCAAAAGTGTCCGTCGCAGCACACAGGGTAGTCAAATGCAAAAGGCAGCTCGAGTGGTGAATCAAAGCAAAAACGATTAGAAGCTTAAACAACTTACGGCAATCCGCCAGGAAAAGCAGGTCCTCCACCAACACCACCACCAAACCAACGAGGGTCATTAGGCCCTACGAGCATGCTGCCTCCAAAACCATGATCACCCCTGAAAATAATTGGGAATGTTGATTGTTAAAGCATGAATTTACAATTGTGTTAAGAGACAACAAAATGTAATGCACGGTTTTACCTTGAGGGATACACACCGGCAGCAGGCCCTGGAAAAAGATCACTACCAGAACCGATGCCAACTGGAGGGATAATGAATCTGTACAAACACGGAAAAATGTTGAAACTCAATGAATTAGTACAGAAGCCAAAAGCATTTATATAAAGAAAAAACTAGAGAAAGGGATCATAAAGAAGGTATAGCATATAGACAACTAATCATTTCATATAAAGCTGATAAGTATGTCGCTTACATGGAGAATAAGTAAAAAACAATTTTGATGAAGAAAATAAGATCACAAACTAGACATGTACTCAGAGGTTTAACTGTTTAAGTAAACATCAGATCATTCTTTTCTACAATGTGCAAGTCTTAAGTAATAGTTAAGTTCCCCAATTTCCAAAGACGGGTGGTTACATCACAACCATTTTTGTGTTGGATAAATCTATACCAAACAGGCTGATCAGAAGCCACGAATATCAAAATGCCAACAATAGGACGGTGTAAAATCACATACTTGACAATTAACTATTAAGATGAATTGGAAATTTCTTACCCAGGGTTATGATCGTAAGGGCCAGCAGGTTCACCAAATCCAGGAACAGGTTCAGATCTCTCTAATTCTCTTTTGTCAATGGTTTCTGAGCTGTAAAGGAAACAAAATCAATTTTTTAATTATTGTCTCAGATCATAAAAATGTAATATATAGGGATTACAACTAGGACAGAATAAAAACATAAGTACCACTAACCAAATTGCTATCAACTGTTTCACTTTTCAAAACACAGCCCAAAAATTTATAATCATACGGAATGTGCATTGGTATCTATGCAACAACCACCAATAAATGTTTCATCATCAACCCTTATGACTCACACAAACACTCCGCCTTTCGAGTTTTCTTCAACAACCCAAAACCAAAATTGAAACCAAAAAAACAAGGTTTTTTCAATTTCACTTGTTGTTTTTACGGTTTTGAACAATGCTTTCGACATCTTGTCTGAGTTTTTTACCGTAGTGACGGGAATCTGGGGATCCCTTTAAATCATGTATTCGTTAATGATTACGAAGTAGTGTTCCAAATATTGTTCCGAAAGTGATGACGCTACGCAATGACGGACAGAAGTTACAACAAAACGAATAACATTACAGTTTCTTAACCCGTTTTGCGTGAGCAAAGAAGAATGATAACGAACCAACTACCAATACACATTCCCTTTTTTTTAGGGAAAGTGGAAATTCTAATGGGATGTTGATAGTATAGTGATTCAGCTGAAAGATGGTTTCTTTTTAAAAAATTGAATTATTGCACATTAACTCATTCAGAACAGAGATCGAACTGCCAAAACAAGATTTTTTTCAGGTTTTGTTAAAAAAATGTTGTGTTCCTACATATTTACCTTCAGAGATTCACAACAAATTCTAACATGGTTTTTGTAAGCAGTATTTTTTGCCTCTGTTTCACTACATGCTTCCTGTGTCAAAGGGCCAATTCGGGAAAACTGGTTTTTATACCAATTGAAGGGGGGGAGTGGATTTCGTAACCAATCCGCTTGAAAACTAGTTTATAATTAAAACCTGTCTTGACTCAGCTAATAACCGGTGAGGAATCTTTCTCACAAACCAGTTTTTGTGACAAATAGTTTGGCTTATCAAACCAGAACCATAAAGTGAGCTGCTTCAAATGGTACAACATATCCTTCACCCGAAACCCATACACAAACGAACGTGGTAGTTGATATCCTTATTAAATATTTTTCCTAATTTGTGCAGTTTTTTTAATAGATGCTTATTTTGTATAGTTTTACAACAGTAGTTTGTAACTTGTTATGTCTAGATAATTATATCTTCTTGCCAATTGCTGTGTTTTTATTGGTTGAATTTGCTTCTACCTTTGATTGAGCAAATCATTAAATTTAACCTTTTTTATTTTTATAAATGATTTGGAATCCAAAATATTTGTTAAAAGAGTCTCACATCGGACAATATATGGCATGAACATGTGCTTATAAGTGGGGACAATCCTCACCCTACAAGCCGGTTTTGTATGGATGAGTTAGGCCCAACCACATTTCTTAACAATATTGAACAATAGTGGTGACCAAGGTAGAAGAGGTCGTGTGCATGACCGTGAATGTGCAAAAATTTGTCGTTGTTGGTTTGCAACAGAATTTGATCTAAATATCCATAAGCATTAATCAAAGCAAAGAGGTGGATGTTGACAGCTATTTATTCCAAAATTTCTCACTTTACTCTTTTGCAACACTTCACAAATGTGGGAGATTTGGTGAGACTAGGCCTTACTCACTTTGCCACGTCTTATCTAACTTTAGGGTGTTTGCATGAGCTCAAGGATGCTTTGATAATATAGAAATATGCTTTTTCTATATTGTTTATTCTGTAACGTAGTACATGAGTATTTATAGAATATAAATTACACTAAGAAATAGGGGTAATTATTCTCCCTATAAATGCTAATCCTAAATAAGGTAAGAATATAATAATACAATTAATTTCTATTTAATCACAATTTGAATCCAGCCATAATGAGCTGTATGACAGAATCTGTTTTGATTTTGTGCTAATATTCAACACTCTCCCTCAAGCTGGCATGAATATATCGTTCATAGCAAGCTTGCACACCATGTTATCAAACAGTCTCTTTGGAAGACTCTTTGTGAGAACATCTGCTACTTGACTTTTGGTAGGTATGTAGGACATACAAATCTCACCGCTGTCAATTTTTTCTTTGATGAAATGCTTGTCCACTTCAACATGCTTCGTCCTGTCATGTAGGACAGGATTATGGGCAATAGAAATAGCGGCCTTATTATCGCAGTAAACTTTAATTGGAGTTGGGCCAAAGAACTTCAATTCTTCCATGAACTTTTTGATCCATAATACTTCACAAAAACCATGGGCCACAGATCGGAATTCAGCTTCTGCACTGCTCCTGGCTACAACATTTTGTTTTTTGCTCCTCCATGTAACTAGATTTCCACCTACAAAAGTACAATATCCTGAGGTAGACCTTCTATCATTTATATTACCTGCCCAATCAGCATCTGTATAGGCTTCAACCTGTATATGTCCTCTATTTCTGAATATCAGCCCCTTTCCCGGAGTACCTTTCAAATATCTTAATATTCTGAAAATAGCTTCAAAGTGGGCTGCACCTGGTGCATGCATAAATTGGCTTATTACACTCACTGCAAAGGCTATATCTGGCCTTGTATGTGACAAATAAATTAGTCTTCCAGCCAATCGTTGATAACGTTCTTTATCTACTATTTCATCTTCAGCAACTGACTTTAGTTTCACATTGGGATCCATTGGTGTTTCTACTGCTTTAGACCCTGTCATCCCTGTTTCTGCAAGTAAATCGAGTATGTACTTGCGCTGGTTGAGAAAAATACCTTCTTTAGATCTTGCGAACTCCATCCCAAGAAAGTATTTTAACTTTCCAAGATCCTTGATATCGAACTCAGCCTCAAGTCTTCTCTTCAGATCACTAATTGCTTTGACGTCATCTCCTGTAATAATAATGTCATCAACATACACTATTAAGATAGCAATCTTACCTTCAGATGAGTGTTTAAAGAACATAGTGTGATCTGCTTGACTTTGGGTGAAACCGTGTCTCTTAACAACACTTCCAAATCTCTCAAACCAGGCCCTTGGCGATTGTTTCAATCCATATAGGGATTTTCTCAATCTGCATACTTTGTTTCTTCCAAGATTTTTTTCAAATCCAGGAGGTAAACTCATATATACTTCTTCATGTAATTCACCATTCAAAAAGGCATTTTTAACATCATATTGATATAGTGTCCAGTTGAAATTTACTGCAAGAGAAAGAAGAATTCTGATAGAATTGATCTTAGCAACTGGGGCAAAAGTCTCTTGGTAATCAATACCATGAGTTTGAGTAAATCCTTTTGCTACTAATCTCGCTTTGTATCTTTCCACACTTCCATCAGCCTTGCATTTCACTGTAAAGACCCACTTACACCCTACTGCCTTTTTATCTTGTGGTAGATCAGTGATACTCCAAGTGTTATTTTTGTTTAGAGCATCCATCTCTTCTTTCACTGCTAATTTCCAATTCGGATCACTTAATGCTTCCTGAATAGTTCTGGGCACAAACAAATTAGAAATCCTAGACACATATGCCTTATGGGTGTGTGATCGTTTGTCATATGACAAGTAATTAGACATAGGATGTTTAGTGCACATACGAGAACCTTTCCTCTCAGCAATTGGGACATCGAGGTCAGGAATATTTTTTCTCACAGAAATTGGAAGATTAATATCAGGAAAAGACAAATCAGATAAATCATTGGATGAGTAAGAAGGATTACCAGATGAAGAACTAGAAGACAGATTATCTGTAGGACCTTCACTTGGTAAATCAGATTGGATTTCTACTGGAGAGACAATAGGGTTTGCACCACCTTTGTGGAATTTTTTTCGAACATACACTTTAAGTTCAGGATTATCATCCTTAATCAGTGTTTCTCCCCCTGTTTCAGATTCTATTATCTTAGCATTTGGGTGATTTGTAGTCACAATATCATCTAGAGCAGGCAAAGTTTCCCAAAAATTATCTTCTTTATTATTACATTGACTCTCCCCCTGAAGAGAATTTTTAAAAAAAGGTTGATTTTCAACAAAGTGAACATCCATGCTTTCAAAAAATTTCTTTGTAACTGGGTTAAAACATTTGTATCCCTTTTTATTGGAAGCATAGCCAAGAAAAACACATTTTTCGGCTTTAGGATCCAACTTAGAACGAAAAACATTGGGGATGTAAACATAACAAAGACAACCAAAAATTTTAAGGGGAAGATCCGTAATAATACGAGATGTAGGAAAATTGTTTTGTAACACTTGTACAGGACTTTCATATTGTAACACCCGAGATGGCATTCGATTGATGAGGTGACAAGCAGTTAATAAAGCATTTCCCCAAAGATACTTAGGTACATTCATAGAAAACATAATAGCTCTAGTGACTTCGAGGAGATGTCTATTTTTTCTTTCAGCAATACCATTTTGCTGCGGAGTATCGCGACAAGTGGATTGATGAATTATCCCCTTAGTTACAAGGAATGTACTTAAATATTTGTTGAAATATTCAGTGCCATTGTCAGACCTTAGAATGCCAATCTTAGTTTGAAATTGATTGTTAATCATGTTAAAAAAATCTTGAAATCTTTGTTCAACTTCTGATTTTTTCTCCATGAGATAAACCCAACACAGCCGTGTATGATCATCAATAAATGTTACAAACCATTTTTTTCCAGACATAGTTTTAATTTTTGAAGGACCCCAAACATCACTGTGAATTAAGTAAAAAGGTTTAGAAGCAGAATAGGCTTTTGATTTAAAAGACACACGATGATCTTTAGCTAAGTGACAAGCTTCACAATGAAATTGTGAGGAATTTATTTCTTTGAAAAAAATAGGAAACAAATGCTTAAGATATGAAAAACTAGGGTGACCTAATCTTTTATGCCATAACATAATTTGATCTGAAACAGGAGATGCGTTTGTACTGTTTGAACCGAAAAACGCTTTATTGCCAAACTGAATTCCATCAAGGTAGTACAATCCATTCATCTCTCTAGCAGTTCCAATCGTCTTCCCCGAGTTCTGGTCCTGAAAAACACAAGTAGAGGGACGAAAAAGAACAGAACAATTAGTGTCCTTAGACAATTTATGAACAGATAGAAGATTACAAGCGAATTTAGGAACATGTAAAACAGATTGCAAAGTGATTTGCTCTGAAATTTTTATGCTGCCTTTGCCTGCAATACTTGAATAACTACCATCAGCTATCCTAACTTTTTCAAAACCTGAACTAGGAAAATAGGTACTGAATAGATGAGAGCAATTAGTCATGTGTTCAGATGCCCCTGAATCTATTATCCAAGGGTTAGAGTGGTTGTGAGCAGATAGTGCCCAAGAATCCTTACCTGTTTGTGCCACAGTTCCAGTAGGGATATTAAGAGATGAATTGGACTTTAGAAACTTAAGAAGGTTATCCATTTGCTCCTTCGTACATGGAGACGAATCAGCCTCATTGGCCATAGGCATAGGACGATCACCAAACTTACCAGCCTTGCCATGATTTGGTCGCCCATGTAGTTTGTAGCAAGTTTCCCGAGTGTGGCGATTGCGCCCACAGTAATCGCAAAATAAATGAGTCTTGTCTCCACCTCGTTGATTATGAAGTGGTTTACGATTGACATGGGGAATTGCCAAGGCAGATCCTTCAACTGGTGGAGGGACAGCTGCTGTATTTTTTCCAAGCATCACTTGCCAACGACTCTCTTCGCGACGTACTTCTGAAAAGACTTCACCAATTGGAGGGATAGGATTTCTGCCTAGAATTCGGCCACGAACCTCATCAAAATCAACATTTAGACCCGCAAGGAACTTGAAAACACGACTAACATCCACCATCTTCTTGTAATGTTTGCTATCGGCAGGTGATTTCCACTCATACTCATTGAAAAGGTCCAAATCTTGCCAAATACGTTTGAGACAATTGAAGTATTTGGTGACTGAATCTTCACCTTGCCGAATTTCTCCCAATTTGAGAGTTAATTCGTAGATTTGGGATTGATTTTCCAAATCAGAGTACATTTGGGAGACACCTTCCCAAAGTTCTTTTGCAGTATCATAACAGAGATAATTTGCACCTATCTCTTCATCCATGGAGTTGACTAACCATGTCATGACCATGGAGTTTTCAGCATCCCATGTATCATAATCTGCACCTGCCTTGTCTGGTTGTTTTTTGTCGCCAGTAATGTAGCCAATCTTTCCTCTCCCCCTGAGATACATACGAACGGATTGCGACCATCGAAGATAATTAGCACCGTTCAGCCGAATTGTTGTGATCTGAACAGGGTGGTTTTCATGGTACGTTCGGACTAATTTAGGTTCGGGTGAGGAATGTTTGGGTGAAAGTGAGGACTCGGTATCAGACATTGTGGGATGTAAAAAAGATAAACAGAGCGGAAGCAAAAACAAAAAAAAAACCTAAAGGATTCTTGTTGCTACTGATACCATATAGAAATATGCTTTTTCTATATTGTTTATTCTGTAACATAGTACATGAGTATTTATAGAATATAAATTACACTAAGAAATAGGGGTAATTATTCTCCCTATAAATGCTAATCCTAAATAAGGTAAGAATATAATAATACAATTAATTTCTATTTAATCACAATTTGAATCCAGCCATAATGAGCTGTATGACAGAATCTGTTTTGATTTTGTGCTAATATTCAACAGATAAGAATGTTGACAAGTAAGGAATGAAAGTACAGCCGCTTTGAATGGAAAGAGGATGGGAAAACCATTGACGATGTAGTTTTGGACCAGGGGTTATGAAAGAGCAATATGATTTATTTGAAGGGCACAGTACCTCTAATCGAATTGCTTTGTTAGGTCAACTAGGATAAAAAAAAACTAGCTATAAGATTCAGTTGAGGCAATTGACCAAGCAAAAGAGCATTTCAATGGTGTGAAGAAAAGATAGGTTAAATTCCTTCGATTTGTTTTGTAGTGTTGATTTTAAGGTGCATCCTATTCGTAGAAAAATAAGGAACTAGACAACACAACTCCACTATACGTTTCATTTAAAAACTGTTCATGAGACTGAACAAAATGTGAGGCTAGGGACCGGACAAAAGCTAAAATTTGTCCCTGAAACCATGGGACTATTTGCTCCTAGAGCAAGCGCGCGTGCGCGTACACAGTAAATTTCACATTGTTTTGTCTGTGTTGTCCATCAAATATCGAATAGGACAAAAAAAAATCTAGCAACTTAATAGGTTAAGCGTGGCTTATACGAATCTCTAGAAGGCAAGGGCCTACCGCTGTAATCAACAGTGGTAACAGAGTTTGTGCTTCATAGTTCATGGTGAAAAACAAATACTATCTATAAAAAAAGACATGAGATTTAATTTTCATCCACTATATAAGTTTTTATTACACCGTCACTCATTCATAAACACATGATTAATAAAAAAACTCTAAAAAGATCATTTCCATTCACTATCAGCATAAAAGTTTTGAACTCGTAAAAGACATGATTAGATAATGACCCACTTCAAAAAATTCAAGCATATCCTCCCAAAGAATTACACTAGGTTGGCATTCCCACACTATGTTTCAAAACTGAAAAGGAAAAGGTTCACAAAATCCAAATTTACCTTATAGTCGAGGAGCTTGCATTTGAAGAACCATCTAATTTTGATAAAATATCTGCATCTATTCTCTTCACCAGCTTGTCTAAATTCTTGAACTGCTGAGAAAAATTGCTACCTCTATCCTCCCCAGAGTAGTCCCCAACACTGCACATATAGAAACACATCCAAATCCCATCACAAAGTGAGCATAATTCACACAAAATTGAGCCACAAAATTTCAAGCCTTGCACAAATTTGTAGAAAATATTCTTTTAACTAAATTCAAGGTTTTACAATTCAACCTAACAAACAAAACCCAGTTGAGAAAATCCAAAACTTTCAACATATAAATAAATCAAAACATTTACAGCATAACCAAATAAAAAACAATATCCCCATTTCCCATATCACAACCCAACCCAAAAAAGAAAACCATGTTACAAATCCAAAATTTCCAAACCCAAAAATAGCAACAACCAAGTCTTATCTCACTAAGTGGGATCAACTACATAATGTTCTATTCAGAACCATACTTTTATGCAAATCGTTAATCTCAAGATCTTTTTTAATAACTTCTCTTGTAGTTTTTCTAGATCTTCCACTATCTTCAACAATTTGAATTCTCTCATTCCGATCTACTCTCTTTACTACAGAATCTACAGTCTTCTCATTACATGCTCAAAAATCACCTTAGTCTATTTTTCACCATCTTTTTTCTATACAGTGCTACCCAACACTCTCTAATATTATTATCTCTAAAATTGTGATTTCCAAAACAAAAAGTAAAAAAGAATAAAAGAAAATCATATACAAAAGAAATTTAAAAAAAAAAATCCCCAATTTCCCAAATTAGCATAACACAACATAAAACCCTAATTTCAAAAATCAAAACACTCAAACAATTTTGACCAGAAACAAAAAACAAAACAAACTAATTACTTGATCTCAAGATGTAGAGGCTCCGGAAACCCTTCAGACAAAGCATGAACAAGCAGTTTCTCATTCATCACAATACACTTAACAAGCACTTTCTTCCCACCCTTCTCCGCGTTCAAGTAAACAAACGCATACTCATCGTTAAGCTCGTTCCAATGATCAACAGCTACCTCATCTACACACACAACGCAACACATAAATAAACACCGGAAAAACCATCGAAAAATTGAAGAACAAAAAAAAAAGAATTTTCATAGGGTTACCATTAGAGGAGTTGGAAAGCGCGGTATCGGAGAGGGCTAGAGGACCTGTGGCGGTGAGGATGTAACCGGAGGCGAGGAAAGAGGAGTGTACGACAAAGGCGATTTTGTCGTTTTGGTTGCGGAAGGTTGGTCTCGCGGCTCTGATAACCGCAAGCACCGATTTGTCAGTTGCCATGGTTCGTGGGTAATCGACGACGTGTCGTTTATGATGAGAGTGGTTTTAGTTTGAGAAAGGGGAAAAGAAACATTGCAGATGCTTCTTGTAAGAGAAGCAACACTTTTTAAAAAAAAATTTAAAAATAGGGAAAAAGAATATTAACCGACTAAACATTTTTTAATAATATACACATCAAATTAGTATTTAGAAAAATCTTTAATTTATATATATACTATTAATACCTAAGTTATTGGGTATAATAATGAATTGAGCATTGCTATGCTAACACCAAAATCCTAAACCGTATGCCTGCACCATTTAAAATACAACATTAGCGTGTATTTATTTGTATCAGTAAAATTGAAAAATAATCACTAAATATATTAAAATAACAAAAGCTTATAAAATTAAGGTGTTAGTTGTCACATTTGGTGTAGAAATATCATTCCTCTAATGAATTTTATGACAATAGTTATAAATTTAATTTCAATAGTTTTAAAAATTGAGTTTTCAATTATATTTTATTTATGCTTAACAATTTTTAAATATAATGTTATTTTATCCAAATTATTTTGTATTTTATATATTTTTTTGAATAAAGGTCATAAAATATATAATAAATGAGCTACACCAAAAGTTGGGGACTAGACTAAAACTCATTCAAAAAGAAGTAAATCTAAAAAATGGCAAATCGAGACTATTTTTAACAAAGTCATTGCCAAGGAAATTAGTTATGAGGCCTATATTAGCAAAATAATCCGTACAATAATTTCTCTCTTGATAAATATGGGTTAAAACAAAAGATATATAAGACGTATAATTCAAACAAGTTTTCCATTTTTTTCTAAAATGTCAAGAGATAATCAGACTATTGGTGACAGTCTGGACAATCATGTTGTTTAGCAATCCCAATAGCAGCAATAACTACCAAAAATTCAGCATGTAAGGAAGGTCGCGGTGAAAATCGAATACCAAATTATTGATTAGTTTGAATCTTTAATTCAATTTGCAACCGAACTTTGATTTGTCCAAAGGAAGGGATAAAGATCGAAATTCCCACAATGCAATGCAAATGCAAGGTTAGAGAGTTTTAGGTTCGGGGGTTGGTTAAACTTAGGGAAGGTGCTAGCATCCTAAGTTTCTGTAGTACTCTACAGGAACCTCTTGTTTTATATTGTTTATTGCTAAGTGTTATCTGCTTAATAGTTGAAAAGACCCTAGTGGTTTATATCTAAGTATACTCGATAAGATATCGCATCTTATGCCTACATATCCTTACGGAAGTGGAATCAGAGTACTTGTAGTTCCCCTAAAGGGTTAGAGGAGCTCTTTGACTGTGGTCAAAGTTCCTACGGGTTTAGGGTAATTGTTTTGATTGGGTTTAGGAGAAGAGATGAGTCTTCATGTTAAGGGAGATGTAACCACCACAAGTGTAAAGGGGGTTGTAGGAAAATAGTTTTTGCATTGTCTTAAGAAAAGGGCTTAAGTACTCAGATTGTTTGATGAGTATGCCTTTATCACTCTTAAGGCAAAGTTCCTACATGTTTGATTGTATTATTGTGGGGGTGGAGATTATATCTCACTTAAGATGATTAACATCTATTCTCTAATGTGTTTGAAAAGTTTGTATTGTATTTATTTCTATGTTGAAAGATAAAGGTCCTTCCTGTGGGGTAGGTCCTAAACTTAAGCGATTGACTTGAATGGGATCAAGGATCGAAGGGATTATGATGCAAATGATGTGCATACGCACGATTGTTGGGATCATGCGCAGATTCTTCCTTTGGACAGGATGCAATGCGGTAAGATAGATGCGGTAATTTAAAAGTTACGGAAAGTAAATTGCAGAAATATAAACCATACACACGCATGAAAGCGCTAAGGTGTAGGTGCAAGTGTCGTGAATGTGAATGTGCACGATTATGTTGATTAAATTATTTGCGGTGTTGATTGATTTTAATTGGTCGATTTTAAGCGGATTGATTTTAGGCGAGACTAATCGATTTCTATGTGGAATTGATTTTAGTGAAAAGTTGTACTTGATATTAATTTTAAAATGATTAGATTTTAAATAGGGTAATTTTAATTAAATGAGGACTTATTCAAATAAAATAAATTTTAGTAAGGGAGAGAAAGTTATTATTACAAATTGATTATGAGATAGGTTTTTCTTGTTACTTATTAAATAAATACAAATCATTTTAATTATATATAAAAAGTCCTTGTATTATTTTAGAAAAAAAGGAAATAAACTATTACTTTATTATTAGATAAATTAATAGTCTTATTATTTTAAAAGCTTTATAGTAAACAAAATTTTATCTTATTTAATAAAATGAGATTATTAAATAAAATATAAATTAAAAGGTTGATTACAATGTCATTATAAAAAGAAGATTGGTTAGAGTTAATTTAGCTAATTCAAAAACTGATTAAAAAAGTAAATTGGGTTAAATATTAAATATTAGGTTAATTAGGGATTAGTGGTTAATTAACAATTAGATTAAGGGATAATGACTGGCGCATGTGATTGGGTGCGGTAGGCATATGCAGGTGTATCATGTGGACGCGGGTGTATAGTGTGCGATGAGATCTGATGCAGATTGTGTGGTGTTAAGGCGTGGGTGTACAATTACTATGGTGTGTGTGTGCATGCGAGATTACGTTATATGAAATTACAACAAAAACGTAAAAGAAGAACCCTAAGCCACAAGCTCATCTCCCTCGATCCGTCGATCTCATCCTCCATCTCTCGATCGCCACTTCCCTTCTCCTCAAGCTCCTTGTTTTTTTATTATCCAATCTTCTCTTCTCTTTTCATCTCATTTTCCCTCTCTTCAATTCCTAAAAAAACAAACAAAGCACAAACGAATTAACAAAGTTAGCGAGGACATGGGGCTCACACTCGCAAGGAGTTTTGACGGCGATGAACGGAGGGGTTTCGCGATGATGACTTCTGGTGACACGAGTTTCAACGGTGATAGCAAATGGATGTGCGATGGATGATTCACGGCGAACGAACGTTTTGCAGCGATGGCGGTTTTCCGGTGAGACTCACAGAAAGAGATAAGTCTTCACGATTTTTAGGTTTTTTGATTTAGGATTTGAGTTTGTGGATGTTTATGGTTTGTTGTGAATTTGTTGAGTGTTTGTGAATTTTGTATCGTGAACTTCTGGCTGTTATCGATTGATTTTTTTTTCATCGTGAGTTAGGTCCTTTTATAGCCATCTCAAGGAGACGGGATTCATAGCATTAATCTTCTTTCCTTTCTGAGCTGATACGCTTGCAATCCATTTGAATGCTATGTTTGATTGTGTTCGCCCAGGTTTAGGAAAGGTATTAACGTTTCTTTTCTCTAACAGACATGTTTGGAATTTTGATTCTTTCCTTTTTGGTTTAAGACATGTCTGGAATATGCCGATATTATATTTGGAAAGTTTGAATTCATCTTGAGTTGATTTTGCGTGATTACGTAGCAGAAATGTGCTATCAAAACTTTCTGTCTTCACTGCGATAACTGCTTTATGATTTCTAATTTTGGCCGAACACGTCTTATCATGCCCAACTTTCTTTTCTTTTTCCTTGCGATAACAGATTGAGTTGTGTTTGGAAGCAAATCACTTTGATGATAATTAAATTGGGTTTGGTTTGCAGGCCATTAATGATGCCTTATGGAGTCTAGAGCGTACAATTTTCCATCGTGAAGGAAACAATTGCATCAAACATTATCAGAAGAGGACTTCCCACCTTGATCAATACTGGAACCTCTTGTAGATGTTAAGGTCTGACGAGTCGTGAATGCGGTGAAAATTGCAGAGAACCAAAGCGGTACAACTTCGGGCGCAACTTGGAATTATAGGGTTCCAGGGTTATTTGGTTTGTAATTTCTCTCTCAGCTTACTTAGTCAACGATTTCGCTTTTCAATTTCAGATTAGCAATTGTAAGTAAAGCGAGAGCTCAGAAGGAATGGGTGTCGAGTGTCAATGTTAACGGGATGTCGGGCCTGCTCTTAATTCTATCTCCTGGTTTTTCTTGACAGGTTGAGCAAGTTGATGAGTCTCAAAGTGAACAGTCGACCGTTCTTACTCGGGTGGGAGTCCAATAAATACACATGAGGTATTACAACATGTTCTTTCTCGTTCAATAAGGCTTCTTGCAATTGATTTTAACTTGTTCTTTTTGACAGTTGTTTGCAACAGGTGGTTATAAAGATGATAAAGAGGTTTGAATTCAAGATCAACAAATGAGGGTAATGCCTTGCTCATCTTCTGTTTGTAGCATGTTTTAGGAACCTCGATGTCATGATGGTATTTGAGATATCTAGTTTCCTTCCTTCTTGGTCTTGAATTAACAAGTCTCCTTCTGATTTTATGCAGGGAGATGTTACAAACATGTCAGGGTCATGTACCAATCTCTTCGTCTTATTTTTCGATTCATGAATGTTCTGATTATTGATTATATTGTTCTACCGACGAAGATGCTGGCTTTAGATTCCTGTTTACTTTCTTCCCGTTGACTGTTTTACAGTTCACTCTTGGTATCTCTTGTTTGATTGTTTATTAATCCTGGAATTGTGCTTTCTGGCTTCAACAGGAACGACGATGCGGTGGCCGTTCTCATAGACTAAAGTTGCCTGGTGGTTTCTTCTTGTAGTTACCTGTACACACCTGCCATTGGAATACTGCAATGTTACGGTTGGCTCGTCTACTCCGCTAATTGACTTCTCAACTTATGTTGGCAAGCTATTTCTAACTGTCCTCTTCTTGAATTTGCAGCAGCTCTTAAATTTGATCCTAAACTCGGAGCCGACATTATACCTGGGGTATGACAGATAGTTCAAACGGTGTCGTGACCATAGGGAAAGTCCACGGTGCTTCGAATGGTTCTTGTTGGAGACTTTCTGGGTACTTATTGTGTTTTGATAATATACTTCGAAAGGAACCGTAAGAGTCACGATCACTAAGTTGGTAGCGAGGGACTGAAATTCAAACGTTGTCGTAACCGTCGTAGGAGTAA